GGGGGCCGGGCGGAGGGAGGGCCGTGCTCGAGGCGGTGGCAGCACGCGTGCTTGAGGAGAACGGCGTTAAACACCGGAGGGGGTGTCTCCTGCCCCGAAGGGTTTCCCTAGCCCGGAAATGGGTTGTAGGTGCCGCGCTTGCAGAAGCGCAGGAGACCAGCCGATTTTTTTCCAGATCCAACAATGGCAGTTTGTTGTTGACTTTTCCTTTGATTCGATGCGTCCCTTGTTTAAAAAAAAAAAAAAAAGCCTTCTGCTATTCAGCAGTATTTGCTTCTCCATGTATCCCTGAAGGTTTTCTGCATCCAAATAACTCTTAAGTTGTTTGACAGGCTTGATTCTCAGGCCAGCTGGGAATCCTAGTTCTGTTGCACTGGGCAAGTGATGATGGAGAAATTGAGAATCGTTGGCCAAACCGATAGTGGATGGGGAAGGAAAGACTGATTCTGTGTCAGTAAATATTAATAACTATGCAGTGTGTATCTAGATACATCTAGACTGTCTATTTTAAACAGAGCTAGAGTTAGAACTTTGACCTTTACAGACAGGTTTTTTTTTAGCTTCAGCACAACTTTCCCACAGCTGTAGTAGCCATAAATAGTTTCCTGTGTTTAGATTTTGTCCTAACTCCTTATTTTCTTGCAGAGCTTTTCTCTTCTGAGCACAAAGATCAGGATAGGAATTCAGTACTTTTGCTTACATAAATATTTCTCCTTTTTGTTTGTGTTTTGAAAACTCTTCTGACAGCCATGAAATTTCTGTTGGTTTTTGATTTTGACCATACGATCATAGATGAAAACAGTGATACCTGGATTGTGAAATGTGCTCCTGAGAAAAAGCTTCCTAATGAATTAAGAAACTGCTACCGACCAGGACACTGGACAGAATATATGGGCAAAGTCTTTGCCTACTTGGGAGACAATGGCGTCAAAGAAGATGAGATGAAAAGAACTATGACAACAATTCCATTCACTGTGGGAATGGTAGATCTTCTAGGCTTTATTGGCAAGAACAAAGAGTTCTTTGACTGCATAATTATTTCAGATTCTAATACAGTATTTATTGACTGGATTTTAAAAGCTGCTGACTTTCATAAGGTATTTGATGAAGTGTTTACAAACCCTGCAGCATTCACCAGTACTGGCTATCTTACTGTACAGAATTTTCACACTCACCGTTGTGCAAAGTGCCCTAAAAACCTTTGTAAAAGGAAAGCCTTAAAAGAATTTCTAGATAAACAATTGGAGCAAGGAGTAAGTTATACACAAATTGTGTATATAGGTGATGGTGGGAATGATCTATGTCCAGTAACTTTTTTGAAGAAGGATGATACTGCTATGCCCAGGCAGGGATATACTTTAGAGAAAAAGATTTCTCAACTCTCCCAAGATCTCAGTCCTATAGAGTGCTCTGTTCTGGTTTGGTCGTCTGGTGTAGAGATAATGTCTTACTTGAAACTGCTTTTAAAGGGATAATTCAAATGATGAAACAAACATCATTACATAATGCAGAACATAACTGCATGCACATAAAAATATTGTAAAGTTGGGATGTTATTATCTGGACCAGTGGATTTTTTCAATGCAGTATAAAAGTGTTTATGTTCAATTTTGACAATAGAGGGAAAATGATGTTGAAATGGCTTTCTAACATGGTACACGTTCCAATATAGATGGAGAAGGGTGGTTGCAAAGGGAATTGACCATAATTCATAATATTTTTTATTATTATTTTCCAAGCCTTTATCAACTGCATAGCTGACTTCTGTTCACATGCTTACAGGAAGAGTTAGGAGTAGCGCACAAAAGAATGAAATTCTTTCCTTGTAAAACGTTAGGTGCCAGGAACAAGGTTCTGGAACTGTCAACTTTGTATACCTCTTTAATCAGGATGAATGTTTAATGTGTGCTTGTAATCTTTTTTGATCTGAAGATGCGTTTATATTTTAATATACTAAGTATTTTCCCAAACAGAATTAATTTTTAATAGTTTATATTAAAGTCAATGAAAGCTAGTGCAACAGACTAAAGCAAAATGGATGATTTGTGTAATGTATTCTGCTGACCTGTGTGTCTTCAGGTCCCTGTGCTTGTGAGGACTTGGAGACAGTGAACATAAATGTAGGTGTCAGCCTCAGAAATCCTTGGATAACGCCTTCACTTACGTTGTCAGTCTGACCTCCTCTACTCTTGAGGACAGTAAGAACTTTGCTCTTCTGTCTGAAGAAAAGGCACTCTCTCATTCTCCTGACTTTCACTGTAACAGTGTGCTCTTGCCATTCCGTGTAGAGCTAGAACATCTGGTAATGAGCCAGTTGCGTCCTTCTGAGCTTGTGCTGTAGCACAGGCCAACAGAATGGGGGATTTGCATGCCTTTTTACATTACTTTCACCTTTTCGTTGTTACCAGTATGAGAGTATAGTCTTCCCTCACAGGCTAGGAGGGAACATCTCTGTCCGTTTGAAGTTTTTAACAGATTTTTCTTCTGTCTTTAAAGGAATTTGATGTGAATGTGGACTCTTTGCTTTACCACTTGCAGTGAGATAAGCCCCAAGATTTGGGTAGTGCATACAGAGTTACTAAAAATGTCTCATTAAAGTTAAATAATATATTTTCATCCCAAATTGTTGCCTTCTTATAGTCCCAGGAAAGATCCAAAATGATGATGTAGTCTTCTATTGATTTGATGTGTTGTGGGTTTACTGCCTTAATAGCTGAGAAATTAGTCCAACTTTTGCAGCACTTATGGTTACAGAAGCCTTGAGATGGAGCTGCCTGTGACTGCTGTAGCTGTCTTCCTGTGCATCTTCTGTGCAGTGATGTTCTGCTTTTCATCATAGGCATTTGATGTTGTCGCTACCTTCTTTGACTCAGCTGAATATTTTTAGGGGTGATCTCCCCTATTTTGAGGCTGATGCTATATGAATGAAGATTTCTTTTAAATACTTCCATGTGAATGGTTCAGTTTTCAGCCCTGTTCTTAACTTATTGTAGAAGATCGCTTGGGTAGCCTATTATTTAAGATATCCAAACTAATATAGTTGACTTTTTGGGTACATTGCTTTAATGATGGATATTTGATAGTGGTCTGAGGTCTTTATATTAGCACTCCTACCCTATTGTCTTCTGCAAGTGCCCAAAGATAGCATCTGAAGAATGGATTGGATCTCTAGTTGTGACAGTTTAAAGTTATTTTATTTGCAGGTAATACAAAAAGTGGTAGTGGCAGTCGCGTAGTATGCCATTTTGTGTAGTTGTATGTGTGTGCATGGTTTTTGTTTTGTTTTGTCTTTTAATCTCCTCCATTCCAGATGTGCTGCTTAATGTTCCAGATACTGTGCCGGGGTCTTCTATCCTTTTCAGAACTTAATTTTGGGGCAGCTTGCTTTCGATTCGTCCACAGATCTCAGCTACTGCTTACTTGAAAACAAGCAAACAGAAAAAAGCTACTATATCAATAATTATTCAGCATTTTATTCCACTTAGATTAGGTTCACTAATGCTGTTTTACCCTTAAAAACCCTACCCTGTAGTTTGGTGAATTACTGAATCATTGAGTAAGAAATTATCTTCACTCTGTTCACTCTCAAAGAGGGCAAGTTCTTGTGTTTTGAACGAACTACTGAAGCAGGAGTTGAGACTAGATTAAGCAAAGTAAACTATTTGAAAGCGGTTATGGTCCAATCACTTTAAGCAGAGGGTGGAGCTGATGCTATTTGATGGGGGCAATGTGCATGTTGGAGACCAGAGAAATTTGTTTCATTCCAGTAAGTAAGCCGTTATGTAGCTGATACGAGGTTTGGGGGTTTTATTGTCTCCAAATAAAAGTAAGATTACTTCTCTAGGGGTTTTCATTACCACCCCACTTACCAAGCTTTTCACATTTGGGTGTGAGGAAAGGGAGAGGAGTATCTCCAACTTGCAGTGTTAAAAAGGTAAGGCAGCCAAAAGAGAAAGGAGGAAGATGGAGCAGATCCTTGAAGGGGTGCGTGTTCTGCACATTGCTTATTTCCAAGCTTGCTAGGGGTTTGAAATAACGCGCTCTGTGGGAGAGTGATGGTCAAAGGACTGAGGAAGTATGATGACTTAGGTAACGATATTATGGAAATAAATTAATCATGGGAGGAAGTGCATATGTGAAATTTTCCATACGGTAACAGAGCAAAGTGTCTATCGCATGCCAGCTATGACAGAGAGTACTTAGTCTTAATACTGTACCCTGACCTTACATGCTAGTAGGACAGTGAAGAGCTGGGAGAAACTTCTGCCTGACCATAGGAAGCTGATGAAATGGAAAGTGGAAAACATCAGCAGCAAAACAAGGTTGTTGGCATGGGGATGTATAAACAGATTTGGGGCCATATAAGGGAATGCTGCGGAGTAATGTAGCTGTGGGACAGCCCCTGGTCAGAGACAGCAGGCTGGGCTACTGCTAATTCCTGGACTGCACCACAAGACTGATTTTCTTGGCTAATAGCACAACACACTGAGAGTGGTTGAAAAACGTAAGGCAAAGGTGTGTGAAGGATTTGTTGTCTTTGATTGAAGCAGTCTGTTGAGGTCTCATGCTACCACATATAAAGGGCAAAGGAAAGCTTGAGTCCTGTTGCACAGTCTGCATGTGAGGAAGGATGACAGAGGGATATGTCCATAAACACCTTCTTCTGGTTCAGATTCCCACCTTAATTCATGCTTTTTGTGGAGGAAGTACCACTAGTAATTAAAAAATATGTATATATTATAAATATATATATAAATGTTGATGTGTGTAGAGCTCATAATTCTTTCTTTTGGATTTTGCTGTCACTTAGCTAATAGTAACAGGTAACCACCTTGTTTTGTTAAGTGAAACTATTCCCAGGCCTTTCAGCCCCTGGAGAACTCTGTCAGGGCAGGCAAAGTGGATGAGATGGGGCTGATGTGAAGGATCCAAAACCTGCTGCTGATGACAGAGGGAGCCAAGGCCCTTCAGAAGAGAGCATAGCCACTGTAGCCTCAGAGTACACTATATTTCGAATACATTTAGAGATCTCCATAACAGAAAACGTTTGGCCAGCAAAGAAGAATAAGACTT